GGTGTACACTGGTGCTGTGTTGCACACGGCTGATGTGGTGTACGCAGGCGCTGTGGTATACACAAGCTCTGTGGTGCCCGCAAGAACTGTGGCACTCACTGGCGTTGTGTTGCACGCGGGTGCTGTGGTGTACATAGGCGGTGTGGTGAACACAGGCTCTATGGTGCAAGCAGACACTGTGGTGTACACAGGCGTTGTTCTGCAGATCGCCATTTAGACGCTGCTGCTACCAGTCCTCGGTCATTCCCAGGCATCCCCAGACGCCACCAGCGCGAAACGTGACGCCATCGGCCCCCTCACCCCCCTACAAAATGATTGCCGTCATCGGCCCGGAAGAAAAAAAACAGGCTTCAGCCGCCGCGTCCGCGCGCACGACGACGATGAGCGACGAGCGACGAACGACGACGACAACGACGACGATGACAACGCCGACGACGACGACGACGACGACGACGACGACGACGACGGCGGCGGCGGCGACGACGACGACGACGACGATGAGGACGACGACGACGATGACTGCGGGCCACTCCTACGCGGATTCCTAAGCGGACGCCTATGCGGATCCCGATGCGCACGGCGGCCGTGCCCGGAGCGCACTGGCGGGGGGGAGCGTTACGTCAAAGGGGGGGGGGGCGGCGGGGGCCATGACGCCGCCATGCCCCAAACAATCAAGAAACACGCTCAAGACGTGTGTGCGTGCGTGCGCATGTCATGGGGACAACCTCAAACCTAGTACTGGCGTGGTCTGGAGTTCGGGTGCGCTGGTTGCTCCAGCGACCCTCAACAGAAAGCGTTATTGTAATAACCATTTCAATTGCCAACGCACAACCACCCGGTAGCCTGGTACATTCTGCACGCCTTCGTTGTTCCTCCGACGGCTATGTGCTCTTCGGATGCCGACGTGTTCCAGGATCGCCGAGACCAAGCGACCCTCCAGCCTGTCCTCTACACTGCTACCTGCGACATACATCAGGAGATCGGGCACGCGTTTTATATCTGGACGGACGAGCTGTAACCTTGAACTCGCACACCCCCGCTGGCAGGGAAACAAGGCATGTGAGATGTGATTCTGGTTTGTTCCCGTTCCCCCTGTCCCCCACTCCTGGGGGTTCGAAGAAGCCTTCCTTTTCGTGACTAACAGAGGTCGTCGTAGAGCCCACTGCAGCCTCGATGGGTCCCAAGATGGGTCACACGACCGCTGCAATACGACTGAACATTGCCCTGGTTCCTCCAAAGTCTACCCCTGACAAGGCCAAAGTCACTCAAACACCTGACGCGGTTCATCCATTATTGCCGACCCGCACTTTCGCTTCGGGTGGGCATCTGCGGCCTCAAGATGGCGGCAAGATCGCTCGATGGAGACTCAATGATTGGTCGATGTTGCTGCAAGACGGCTCCAAGAGCGCCTAAGAGCGAACCAAAAGGATTCCAGCGTGCTCCAGAGCGGCGAGGCACATGTGCGCCGCCCCCTTTTACCCGACGTCCTCCACGATGGGCCAAGGACGACAGGACAGGTCCTAACTATAACAGTATATCAATGGGCTTGTGTATCTGATATCTGCACGATGGCTTTTCTCTCATACGAGAGCCCCTATGGCTTCCTGCCTCCTTCTCCATTTCCTCCTCTGCCACCTCCTCCTCTTTTAACGGCAGGCCCAACAATTCCACTCCAGTAATTTCCAGGCTGATCCCCAGCTTCGGCTTGATGGCTGTCTCACCTTTGCTCCACTGCATGCTCCTATGTTTTCCTGATCAGGGCACCTCGCCTGGCGATTGTTTCGGCATGGGTTGGTGGGGATACTTTTTGTTACGCGGGCGCGCGAAGACGAGTGGAACGCCGTGCAAGCTAAGGCGGGCCGCGCCAAAGCGAAGGGGAAAGCTTGTGGGGATGGTTTTTGATCTGCGGGCTCGCGAAGCAGGTCGAAAGCCGTCCAAACACTAGCCAGGCGCGTCAAGAATACATCTTGCTCATGTCGTCGCAGTCCGTAAACATTGACACTAGAGCACATCCATCATGGATAGCACATCTTTCAACAGAGATGGACGGAGACGAGCACAGGGGCAGCACCAACGTCGGGGCAGCGAGATAAATGATGTTTTCGCTCGCCAGATATGCGCCTACGGCGCACGCGAGCCGCGTACCACAACGATGCATCTCCTCCGTTGCCGCGCAGAGCGCTTCAAGCGCCCTGGAATCGGTCGTGGCCGAGCATCGCTCCCCGCAGGTTGCCGAGCGCCTGCAAGGTGCTCTGGGAGCTTCTTCTAGAGTGCGCGCTCGAAGGGCTCGACGCAGGGCTGCTCACCACCAGCACAGGGTGTTGGGGTGCTCCACGCTGAGCGTGCGCTCGGAGGCCTCAAGTAACACCTGGCGCTTGGGAGGCTTCAACTCCGCGTGCCAGCCATACTCGCCCGCCGGCCCTGACCGCCGCACCTCAGGCCAACCGGGCGGCCACTGCGGCACCCCGCATGGCCTCCAGCCGGCGGCCCAGGGCCGCGACCGGCTCCCCTCCCGGTGGCAGCGACGCTGCCAAGAGAGGCCCGACCTCCTTCTGCAGCGCCGCCGACAGTCCGTCCGCGTCCAGCATCGCCGCCAGCCGCACGAGTTGCGCCCGCAAGTCCTCGGCACAATTGCAGCTAGGGGCACGAGCAATGACGCAAACATGACTCGGAGGTCAACGCAAATTTCTTGGATCGGCGCTGGACCCCCCTCCCTGGCGCGCGGAGCGCCAGAGGCGGTGCCTGAGGCGCCGCCAGGGGGCCCCAGCGCCGATCCGAGTAATCCGTGCGGACCTCCGAATTTTTTGCGTATGTTCTTCTTTGTTCCCCTCGAAGCGGGTCCTCAGGGTAACGAGTCCTGGCAGGAAGCCTGGGGCCCCCCCCAGAAGCAGCTGTTAATCTCAAGTCGCTTCTCGGCACCCGGCGGTACTGGGGCCCGGGGAGCGGGGACAGAGTCCGAGAACTGCCAGAAGCCTCAAGACCCGTTTCCGTCAAGACCCACGTGCTTCTTGGCGAAGGTCCATAGGAGCGGCCAATGCGCTGCCAGCCACCTCTTAGCGGACGGAAAACAGGATACCATAAACGTTTCTGGCATGTGTCGGCGGCGAGCCCGGGGGGGAAGTGAGAAGGGGCGGGCCTTTTCAGAAGGCTCTGAACTTCCCCGGCCTTCGGAGAGTGAGCCCCCCCCGAGGACACAGAAGACCTCTCAGAAAGCCCGAGGACTCCTGAAAGGCCCCGCCGCATTCTGAGAAGGCCTTCTCCTCCTCATTCGGGCGCGGCCCAACCGACCCCTAGCAAACCACTCCCTTCCGTGACGCCGTCCTCGCCCTGCGAGCTCCCCTCCGGCCGCATGCATGATTACGTCTTGGGGCGAGGCGAGGGGGACGCCATAGAAGGGGATGGTTTGTTTACGGGTCGGTTCCTCCTCCTCCTCCTCCTCCTCCTCCTCCTCCTCCCCGTCCTCACTCCCTCCCCCCTCCTCCTCCTCCTCCTCCTCCTCCTCCTCCCCCTCCTCCTCCTCCTCCTCCTCCTCCTCCTCCTCCTCCTACTCCTCCCTCCCTCCTCCCCTCCTCCTCCCCCCCCCCCCCTCCTCCCCCTCCTCCTCCTCCTCCTCCTCCTCCCTCCTCCTCCTCCTCCGTCCTCCTCCTCCTCCTCCTCCTCCTCCTCCTCCTCCTCCTCCTCCTCCTCCTCCTCCTCCTCGCTCGCCGCCGTATCCGGGACGCCCGCTCCTGGTCGGCCGGCACGTCGGCCCTCCCGTCGTCGGCGCGTCGGGGCCCGGCCGTCGGGGTCCGACCCCGTAGGGCAGACGCTCCCGGAGACCCGACGCTGTCTTGCGGCAGCAGCAGCAGCAACAATAGCAGAAACAACAGCAGCAACAGCAGCAGCAACAGCAGCAGCAACAACAATAGCAACAACAACAACCAACAACGACAACGACAACGACGACTACAACAACAACCGTCATAACAACAACACCAAGAACAATAAACATAACAACAACAACAACAACAACACCAACACCAACAACAACAACAACAACAACAGCAACAACAACAACACCAACAACAACACCAACAACAACAACACCACCAACGACAACAACAACAACAACACAAACAACAACATAATAAACAACAACAACGACACCAGCGACAACAATAATACCACCACCAACAGCACGTACTACAACACTACCAACACGAACAACAACAACACGAACATCAACAGCCGCAATCACAACAGCATCAACCAGAGCAACTCCAGCATCAACATCAACTGCACCAACAACATCAACGACATCAACAACAACAGCAACAATAGCACCAACGATCACATCAACAAC